AAAGTATCTATCTTTAGTTGGCAATGCAGCAATTTTATTAAAATTCCAAAAACCCACCCGTCCTCTCAGCTTGTTCCTTGGAGCAGAGCAGAGCTAGCACAGCCCTAGTTGCCCATGAATATATGTATGTAGTTCCACTTAGACTCCGGGCCCAGGGACAGAGTTTTGGCCCAACTTGGACAAGGACGAACGGAGGACTTCACCCTCCTCCTGGCAGAGCTCAACCATCGCCATATTGCAGAAATTGTGTGGAGCAAATAGTTGCCCCTGCTGCTGCCGCCGTTGCTTTTATATAAACATGAGGCAAGATTAGATACAAATTACACGCCAGCCACCCAAGGTGGGCAGCATCCTCATCCCCAGTTTGGCAATTTGCTCACCTTTCTGCTCCTGCTGCTCCCTTCTGCTCCTTCTACTCCGTCGTATCCATAAGTTACCAACGCAAAGTACCTCGAGTCCGACAGCTGCAATAAGAGGAAAAAGTTTGTTTTTTTTGTTGGGGAGGCAAGTAAATGGCATTTCTGGGCCACACCCACTCCACGCCCACTTGCCACTTGCCACTCCGCCCAGCCAGTGTATTTTATTATTTATTTATTTCATATATTTTGCAACGGCGGCGATTATAAAATGTACAAAAAAGAGCGAGCAAGGAAAAAATATGGAAAACTATGTTCGTGCCCTGAGGGAGGCATTGGTTTCCTCTCGATTGGCTTGGTTCTGGTAAATTTTCCAACGGGCTTGGGCTTGGTAAATGATATATTTGGTTAGATATTTTAGTTAGTTTTTCTTCTTAAACAAGTTTAAAATGTGGATTAGGAAAGTATTCAGGAAAAATCTCTCCCACGAAAATACTTAATAAAATTTAAAATATTTCACAATATATTTCACCGATTTTCTCCATTTAAAAAGCCTTTTATTCTCGAATATTTTCCATATATATTTATGCTAGAGAAGTTCCACTCTGATCTAGGTTCCTGGGGAGCCCTGCCAGCGCATGGAGCCCTCCAGAAGTAATTTATGTCAGCCAAATTCAAACTTTACTTATTTTGGGCCAAGAAAAAGAAGAGCGAAAAGTTTGTCCTTCTTTCCGTTCGTGATTTCAGGATGGGGGAAAGCGGGCCGGGAAAATAAAAGCAAAGTCAGCCGGAAAGTTTCGGGATCCTTTGAGTGGGTGGGCGGATGTCGTTGCGGTTGTGTGTTTGCTCAGTTCCAGGGGGGTGGTGAGGGGCACACGGGGGCACCGGAGTTGAGCCTCATTCGGTGGCACGTTTGCAAAATGGCCCGATGCGTGTCTGGAATACATTTTCTGGCTTGCCAAAAAGATGGCAGAGCCCAAGACCGAGTCAGAACTTTGGCAAAAAAGCCCCCATTCCCATTCCCATTCCCATTTCCACTCCCGGCCACTCCCCCGGTGCATTTGTACACATTGTTGGTTGTAATTCAACGTAAATTTATGTGAAATTGTTTGCCAAGCCAAAGGAACACGGAAAGCGGCATTTTGTGTTTTCTAAAATTTAATGTAGTTCGTTTGGGAAAGCGGAGGGATGAGGTGGGTGGTGTATCGGGGGTTCCTGTGCTTACGCCACAGAATTTCAAATTAGCAAACACACACGCACCCACCATAGAGAGAGAGAGCGTCAACATTCCCATGGGTTGTGCAGGTTTTCTGGGGCAGAGAAGGGTAAGGTAGAGGAACCTGGGCCCAGAGACCCAAAACATCCAAAAACCAGACTGACGAAGGGCTTAATGTTAATTGCGGCTTTTGTTTGGTTTGCCGTTCGATTAAGTTAACGGCGCCAGGCGGCGCGTCGTGTGTCGTTTCATATTTGGCAAATGGAAGTCGCTTTAATCGGGCCTCGATCTTAAGGCAAACATCTGCCATCTCTGGCTTTACACCTGCCTATGGTCTTTTAATTTGTTTGGTTTCATAAAGGTTACATTTAAGTGTCATGTTGGACTATGAAAAGGTCATTTAAGACAGCAGCACTAACCTAAGAATTTTCAGCTAAAAGTTAGTTTCATAAAATCATGAAATGCAAGAAGCCAAGATAAAAGTTCATAAGTTAAGAAGAACCCCTAAGTTGGGTTTAATTTTATAAGTAGTTTAAGTTTAAGCTTCTTGTTTCTCATTCAAGATGTAGAAAGGCTGATTTTGAAGGGTTGTTTCCCAAGAAAGACACTTAAATTTGATCAGTAGCAACCTTAGCCTGATCTGCTGTTTATTTACCCTTCATTAATTGAATTGTAATTAAGAAAACGGGAAGGCTGTGGGGCGCTGATCAAGAGAGTCCCCCGTGATCAGAAGGGCAAATACTAAAACAGGAATAGCAACAAAAACTGTCAACTTAAGCATCGTAAAAAGTCGATTGTATTGACAATAATTTTCCGCATTAAACACACAAAGTTAATGCCCCAGAAGTTGCCGAGCGACTGTAACTCGGGATGCAAGGTGGCGGCCGAGGTACACTAAGAAAAATGTCGCACTTTCTGGCCATTAAATGTGATTTTTTAAAAACTTTTTATAAGTCTAGTTTATAAGCCTTTACCACAAAACCACTTTAGGCTCGAATGTGGGGGATAAATGCAGTAAGAAACGAGTTAAATATCTTATAGATTTTATTCAAGTGTGGGCAGATAAGCGGAGGAAGAGGAGAGAGAGTGGGGAAAATGGAGGATCAGGACCGGAGAAAGCGGGGAACCGAGCGTGGAGCGCCTTAATGGAAGACTCCAGTGCTCGTAAAAGTCAGCGGGCTAGGGTCTTCCAGCGGGAGCGGCCTGGAGGAGCAGAGTGGAATGGAGTGTATTTCTTTCTTTTTTCTCGAGTGCACCGCTGGGCACTTAACCAAACCAAAACCAAAAGGAATTTGTTTGTTTTCTTAGCCCCGCAACGTCCCCCCTAACGCCCCCTCCAGCACGGGGCATGTGCATCTGGCACACTTACCGCGCAATTAATGGCGCAATTAAATGTTTACTTTAGGCGCTTTCGAACCGCACATAAATGGCAGCCGTTTCCCCCTCGCCGAGGGAGATCGAAAATGAAGGTGGCGGCAGAAGGGGTTTCCGATCGAAATGGGGAGGGGCCTTATCAGCACGTTGGTTTCCTAGAACAGCTCAGGTGAACGAACAGGTGAGCAGAGCCCAAGTCAGCCTCTGCTTTGAGTCGCAGATTCTGATATCTTGATATTTCTTTTGTCTTCGCTGCGTATTATTATTTTTGCCCGTTTCGTTCACACTTTCAAAAACCGATTTTGCATAGAAATCGTAGAGTTAACTTTGAAATTCGACCACTAATGAGATTGCGTCAGGTAATCAGCAAATTGTTTAAGAATGTCTGCTTTATGTTTATAAATTGCAGTTTAGCTTGACACTTTAGTCGAGTATATGTAGGTAGTATCGGGTTTCAACGACCTAATCATCATTAGAAAAAAACATGTACAAGAAATATTGCCTTTGATTTGAATATTTATAAAAAATTTATAATAAATATTCAAAAAGCTGAAGAAAAAATGTGAAAGATATTTATTTTATATGTTAAAAAGCAGATTATTTGTTAGGAGATTTTATATATTTAGTATAGCTTGTTTTCTAGGGCATGTTTAACAAATGATATAATCTATCCATAATCTACTTATGTAATATCAGTTAAAAGTTAGAAAAATGCTAGTCATTTAATCCTTAGAAATCCTTACAAAAAGGACTTCCCTTCGATCAAAAACAGAACTTCCAGAGAGAGATATTTCAGTTCAACCGTCCGCGGGCCGTAAAACAATTTGTTGCAAAATTTAGCAAACAGCCAGAAAAGTGCCCCATAAAAATATTAATCCTTCCGCCGCGTGGCCGGGCAAGGAAAAGGGAAAATGGAAAGAGGAATAGGAATGGAAATGGAAATGGGAAAACAAACCCCTACACATGTTCCTTCGCCTTCGGGCGAGACTCTCGCTTTCGTTTTTAGGGACCATAAAGCAGTTTTAATGGCCGGAGCAGTGCCTTGAAATGTTCTGCCGCCTTCGAACGGGGTAGCTGTGTGGGCGCAGCACCGCAAATAGAGTGAAAATCTAAAAAATCACAAATCGCCTGGGGATGGTTCCGTTCTTTGAGTTTCGCTCTTGGGATCGGTTCGTTTCGGTTCCGTTCTGCTACGTCAAAGAGTTGCAATTACAAAATGTTTAATTGCCGGCAGCGAATGTTCAAGGAAAAGCGAAAGTGGCCTCGGGCGAGGAAAGAGTTGACTTAATGGCACTTAAAGGGCCATAAAATCCTGAATTATGATTTCGAGGTCGCAAAAAAGTAACAACAAATATTAGCCCCTATATATGCCCTGCTCTGCAGCCGATTTCCAGCATGACGTGAGTAGTTCTTTTTTGGCTATTCTTGGCCTCTGGGCCAGCAACATACAATCTAGGGGCTAATGACGCATCCTATCCGCCGGGAATGGAGTGAAATGGAAACGTCGTCCGCAGGAATTCGAAAATGACGCCTGTCACTGGGCAGCTTATTTATGGCAATTTCGAATGTCTTATGGGCGACTGCATTTACATATTCCCAACGCGACTGTGGTCACTCGGCAATCGCAACCGCAATCGCAATCGGGATCCCAGACCCAATCCCAAGCCCATTTCCCCCGTTTTTTTTTTTTCGTTTCGTTGTCTGTCATGGCAAGTGCACGTTTAGCTTGTTTGTTTATATACATACTATATATATGAACATATATGGCTCTGAGTTGTTTCCCTTGTTGTTTTTTAAATGAAATATCACGAGTGCCATGTAGACAGAACAAAGAATGCATAAATTACCCCGTGCCCGGGCGGGGCTGCCTAAAAATCTCTGCCTTCGAGTTATTGAAATTAATGCCAGCAGCAATGCCTCGGGTTCATTGAGCCTTATCAGGCGAAGTCTGGCTGGAAATAAGTGCATTAATTGACAATTTTCAATTTCGAATAATTTTACAGCCATGCAAAGATTTTAAATGCCCTTTCCACTGTCTTTTCTTCTTCTTGCAGTTCTTCGAGGGACCTGCAGATGGATACTCTGGGCACTCGTAAGTAATGCCAATGCAAATGCCAATGCCAATAGATATAAACAGCCGATAAGTAATCGCTTTATTTGCCATCTGAATATGGGAACCAAGCCGGCGTTTTTATTGATTTTCATTAAGATTTGACGGCATCATAAAGTGGCGAGCCTATGTGAGATGTCCCCATTGGAATTATCAACATAATCATGATTATTTTTTGCAATGCCTTGGTCTTCCAGATCAGGTCCAGGCTCCCCCTCTTTCTCTAATGAAACCCAAGAATGGTTTTTATTCTTCCCATCTAATTGCGAGTTATGGAAGGAAATGCCAAATAATTAGCCCAGGAATCTGGGCGGCAAATGCAAGAAAGTTCTAATTATTTATTTGGTTTGCTACTTTAATTTAACAGCCATAATTTATGTTCATTTCTGTGCCTGCTCTTGATACACTTATACGATCGGTTTTATGGCTGCAGAATATTTATTCACACCTTTCCTAATGAATTGGTCTGCCCATATGGTAAGATATTTCTGGGGCCTGTTATGAAGGCATTATAAATACAAATATATATGGATTTTATGTCCACTTGTTTGGAAAGCTAATGGAGCCTCAATCATCTGAGGGACAGGTGTATGGGCTGGGTGGTAGTTTGTGAGACATTCTGTCAATATCTTACTCACTTTGGCTAGGATCGCATGGTTAGCGCTGTCGACTCATGGCTCGTAAATCATTTTTCGACAGCTTTAGACTCGCCCATAAATTCCACTTGCGATATTTATAGATAATGTGCTCCCAGCGCCAGAAAAGAGCCCGGCCAACCCGACCCGACCGATGATACCAATTCCGATTGCCATTCGCTACTCCTCGAACTCGAATCAAGATTTTATGGTCGCAATCGTAAATCGACAATTTTATAGTTAATCGATGGCCATTTAGGCCCAATAAGCCTCTCGTTGCATATTAATTTTTGGCCAAGATATGTGTGTCTGAGAGGTCTCTTCCATTTCGGATGACATGAAATTGATTTATTTGCTTTTAAAGACGTGTTTGGGGCCCACGGCTCCACGGTTGCGGGATCGTAAAATTAATAAGGGATTAACATGCCATGATTGTGGCTGAGAAAGCCATGAGCCGGGAAATTGAGCCAGAGGTTAAACTTAAAGCCATCACATTTTGCCGACGAAACCGGCTGCAGATACAGAGACACAGCTATACAAATATAGAAAGATACAAAGATACAAAGATGAACGGAGCAGCCGCACTACACGAGATACACGAAAACCCACCCCGAAAATCGAGAGCAATGACAGCATGTCCAAAATCAAATATGGCCGAATTAAATGTTCTCGCTCTCCGTTTTGCTCGCTCCTTCGCAGCGGCCATTGTTGCCATGGCAACGGGACGGCGAACGACGATGAGAAGGGGGATGGGAACACCGAAAGACAGAGAGGGCGAAACAGAGAGGAAAAGAGAACGAGTGCTGGGCATGCTCATAAATTCATTTGCTTGTTGTTGTCGAGCGAGTTTCGTTATCTCCTTCGTTGAGGTTGTCCCCTCTTCCTTCTTCTCCTTTCTTGCCTTCCTTTTCCCTCCTTCCTTCTCCCCCATCTTTATCAGCTTGGTGAGGTATCTCCGGAATACTTTGTATGCTCGACTTGAGCACTAGTTGCCAGCTGAGGTTCAACGGCTTGGACACCGGCAACTGGGAGAGACATTACTTGGAAACGAACACGAGAAAGGCGGTTAGTCGATGTTTTTATACTCTAGGAAGAGTAGAATAAAATAAAATGTTTTCAAAATATAAAAATCTATCATATAGTAAACATTCTTATGAATGATTTCAGTTTTACACTTGAAATATTGTTTTAATGGGTATAGAAGAGACTTTTACTCTTTGCTAAACCATTTTAGTACAAATAGATAGATAGATAAAAACTTCTTAAATATTTAAGATCACAAAAAACCGTCCCAAAATCTCACCAAAATCAAACTACCCTCTGCAAGGGTACAAAACAGAGAAGGCAGAAGGCAAGGCCAGAAATAAATATTGAAAATCTACTTATGCTCTGAATTGAGTCATAGGCCCACCATATGCTCTTCCTTGTTTATTTAAAGCGTTCAATTGACGCAATTATTTTAAACAAAACCAGCATAAATTATTTTCAGAAACAGTGGTGCCTATTTCAGCAAACATTGCTAATTATTTGCAATCAAATTCTTATTAGAAACAGCGTTTCAACCCCGGATTCCCTTTGACATTGATTATGCGCATTGAAAGATACTAGTACGAGAGTAAGGCAAAAGAGGGCGTTGTGCAGGTTTTGCCCAACGGCCGTCAGTGTCGCTAGTAAAATAGTGAACAGGCGAGAGAAGGCTGTTAATTTAATATAGTTATTTATTTATTTAGCTTATCCTTAATAAAAAAAAATATGAATAATATATATTACACATTTGTTTTAGTTTTTAATGACTTTTATTAATATTTTTAATATATTTTATATGACTAATATTTAGTTTTTGAAATACAAACAAACAATATTTTTCCTTGGCAAAGACATAACCAATGAGTTTTATCTAAGTGCTTCTTAATTATTTTAATTAAAAAATATATCGAAAATGCTTTCCTCTCTCTCATATAATCCAAAAAAAACAAAATGTTGTATAAGAAAATCTGTTCATTTAATTATTAAAAAATTAAATTAAAAATATTTTGAAAGCTTAAAGTGTCAGAATGCAAGCCTAATTTAGTGCCTGCCTTAAATTGTTTATCGCGTGTTGAAAAATACATGATGAGGCCAGCTAAAAAATTTTAATGAGTATATTAAATGCGATTTTATGACGAAAGAGATTTATTTATGGCCCATAAAATAAATGGCGTTTATTTAAATGTTGTTTTTGCGCCTTTAGGCTAATGAAATGCTTTCTACGATAAGATAAAAACTCATTTAAATTAGTAAAAAGCAAGTTTATTCTCTATATAGTGTAGTTATTTAATGTTTTTAAGTATAATAATAGAGAGGAAATTCCTCTTGTATTGCATTGTCTTATGATCCATCAACATTGTATCAAATTTGTTGCCCTTCGGTGGGGTCCAAGTCAGCTGTTCCTCCAGCTGTTCCCAAAAGCCAAAAGCAACAGGTTGCGTGCCAAGAAACTTTCCCAGCCATCCAGTAAAATTCATAAGAAAGTGTTGTGTAACTTTTAAGCAATAATTTATTCAATCATTTCATTAACAAAGTGTGTATTTATAAGACCAAAAGTGTTAAAAGTGAGAAATAATGAAAGTGTTTTGTGGTTTTTAAAGTAAACTGTTTCACATCCCACGTTGCTCGTGCTTCCTCGTGTTACGTATACTGAAGGTATACCGGATAGGATACACTCAGGATACATTCAGTATACGTTTACGAGGTCGCACACAATCACTATAATCCGAAAGTGACCAAAATGAAGTGCAGTTCCAGATGCAGCCAAGCGATGAAATCCAGATTTAAAGATATATATTATATAGTTTGTAGATCCGAATACGATAAGCGGCGTTGTTGACCCGACGATTGCACGGCCGCAACTGAAAGGAGCAGACAGGAAAAGCAGAAAACCAAGCCGGCGTGTCCTCGTAATTGTCGTTTCCTTTCGGCCCATTCGCTCGTGTCTCGCTCGCACTCGTGTGTTACCGATTTTACAAGCGTTTTCCTCACTTCCGGTCGTTCTGTGAGCCCGTGTGTCCTGTTCGGTGGTTGTTGCTGCCGTCCGGATGGTTTTTCCTGTTGTTTTTGTTTCGGCGGTGAGGGGTTGGGCCGGAGAATCGAAAATGATTGCGATAACCTCAGACGTTTAGCCAGCACTTGTCACATAAGACGTGTCTTTATACCAAGCTATATATGGATGTCCTTGGTCCTGGAAAATATCAAAGGAGAAAAGAAACAAAAGGAAGAGCAGTAAGTTCAAGAAGTTACGACAACGCACAAAGTTCCCAGATACCTCCCACATTAATATTCCCAGCCCCAGCTCAACTATTTCGCCAATCGCGATAATCACCCTTTGTTGCCATCCATTACCCACCTGCCCCCCATTTGCCGCCAGGAGCTCCTACTTGCGCCCTCGAGCACGTCCTTTCGCTTAATCCCTAACAAGAAAGGGGCGGTCGGCCTCATCCAAGCCCAAACTCACACAAAGTCTGGGAAATATGGCGGGTGAAAGGGAGGCGTGAGGAGTCAAGCCTGAGAGCGAGAGGTTCGCAGCCAACCAGGCAACTCTCTGGCAATCTAATGCCCAAGATAAAATTCAAAATTTATAATATTGCACAGTTTGCCCGATATAAAACGTAAACTTATGGCTCTCGGGGAGTACGTGCCATATTTTTCTATGTGTATGTGCCCAAGTCTCAGCCACTATATATTTGCCTATGTCAGTGCCCTAGTGTGTGTGTAGTGTGTTAGAGTCCTAGCTCCTGCTCCTGTTCTTATGTTCCTTTTTTCCTGCCCAACCCTTGCAGCAAAGAGTCATGAGCTCGTTATGCCTGCGAGATTTCATTTGTGCGCCGAGGCAACCCCCGAAGACAGTGGTCTAGCACTAACGAACTTCTATGTGGGAAAACTAACTATAAACTTAAAGGAAACCCTAAAATATTTCTTAATTAAGAAGTTAAATAAAACCATAAACTATTGATAAAGGTTTTACGTTAGATTTTCAGCTGTCTTACTGATTCCATTTGAACTTAGACTGAAGGAAAGAACTTCCAAAACTGCAATAAACGATATTTAAAGACTTAATAATACTGATTAAGGGTTTCTTTCTAAATATAATACGTCTTCTTTAGCTAGTTTTACTATAGTTAAATATTTTTCATTATAATTTCTCAATAGAAGTCCCAGACTCCATCCCACTGTGCCTAGGCCCTTGTCTGTATGTCTTTGCATACTTCGACCGGCAGTTTTCGGATGGGCCTGTCAGCCGTTCTGGGAGGGTGATGTTAGGGCGGTGTTCGATGGCGATGGGGGGGGAGGGCGTACTCGTACACACAAAAC